ACTGCCACTAGTAGAGTAGCAATTTGTCTTATAGAAATGAAAACAAATTGATAATGATTGTGATAATGGAGTTTCTTAGCAAATGAGAATGCTTGCATGCCATGCTGAAGTCTTGATTTTGGTTTAGTTTTGCTGTGGCTACTATCTCCAGTGCATGCCTTACTTTCTGCTCCTTTGGGTTTAGGTCAGTGGTTCTCAAAGTCTACTGTGAACCTGAATGACATGAAGCTCTTTTAGAGCAATTGCAGAACCAGTGGCAGAATTTCTGAGTCAATTGAGCTGAGATGCAGACTGAGAGTCTGCCTTTCCAACAGCTTCCCGGGTGCTGCTGATGACTTTGGTTCTGAACCACGTTTGGAGACCTTCTGGTTAAGGTGAATTTCATGATTGTTATCTAATTTTGGCGTAAGAAGACCAGTGACAGTTTAACATAGTATTTGTTACAAAGACATGTCTTCATAAGGGTGGATCATGATTTTCCCCATACTTACCAAACTGGATGTGTGGATTTTTAAATGTTGACAATGATGAACAACAAAGATTTTTAAAAGAGCATATTATTTTTTTGTCTAATAAAAATTTAAGATATTAATAGCTTTTCAAATTTCACCTGTATTTTTAATAATTAGTAATAATTGATTAAACAAAATGCTATTTATCTTCACATGCTAAGGTTTAAGGTATTTATATGTACATGTAGCTAGAAGTTATTTGATCCATGCTCTGAACATTTCTTTTTCATAAAAGTTAGTGGTATACACCATTCCCTGCTCATGTCAGAGATTCCTGAGATGACTTATTATCAGAACTTTGGGGATAGATTACTTATACTACCTTGTCTCAATTTGCTTCATACTTCCCTTCACAACTGCAAACCAGAACTTTCCTGGTGTGGTGGGTGGGTGGTGGTTTAGTCACTAAGTCGTGTCCAACTCTTAATACCCCATAGGTTATAGCCCGCTAGGCTTCTCTATCCATAGCATTTTCCAGGCAAGTATACTGGAGTGGATTGCCATTTCCTTCTCCGTGGGATCTTCCCAACCCAGGGATCAAATCCGGGTCTTCTGCACTGCAGGCAGATTCTTTACCAACTGAGTTACTAGGGAAGCATGTTTGGAGTCCAGTCAAATCTAAACAATTCCCGGGACGGAATTTCAAAGATGTGAATTTCCAGAGTAACTGCCAAGCATGGTAGTGAATACTCTGGTCTGCCCAGATTCACTGTGTGCTCGTTACATGACAAGCGTTTCTACCCAGATAATTCACTTAATCCTCACAACAAATTTATTATTCCAGTTTCACAAGAAAGGAAGGGGACTGAGCCTAAAGAAAGGATTCATCCAAGTAACAGACAGAAAGAGGCACTTCCAAGTTCTGAGTCTGAGCCTTCTGATGCCTGGTTAAGGAATCTTCCTACAACTTTGCTTCTATTTTATAAAGAAATCAAAGATGGTAAGGAAAAGTTGTTACTGTTGCAATTATTTGAAACTATGCACACCACCTATTGATTTTATATGAACAAATTTGGAGTGCTAATTGGGAGAAACTGATTCCAATTTATAATGAAATTGTTTCTTTTTAGGAGATTTCTATTTTAGCCAATAATAGGAATAAGGAAGCTTTTTACCTTTTAAAAACTCTATACCTTTTGTAAAGCTGATTAAGTTATGGACACTTCTCATTGAAAAGGCACATGTACACAAATACACACCATTTTATAGTCTTCAGGAGATTTATAGATGGCTCAGATGGTAGAGAGTCTGCCTACAATGTGGGAGACCTGGGTTCTATCCCTGGGTCGGGAAGATCTCCTGGAGAAGGAAATGGCAATCCACTCCAGTATTCTTGCGTGGAGAATTTCATGGACAGAGGAGCCTGGCAGGCTATAGTCCATGGGATCGCAAAGAGTTGGACACAACTGAGTGACTAACACACACTGAAGATTTTCTTGATTCTCAAAAAATCCACTGACCATAAGATACAAACCACCCTTCTGGTTTACTCAGCCCAAGGGTGGGGTGGGGTGGTAGGAATCTTTTTAGAGCTACTTAGAAATTAAAAACAAATTCTTGGATTCTGTCTTCGGAAATAAAGGTGTTAAAATCTTTGAAATGAGCAGCTTATAAACTTAATGAAATGAGTTCAATAATAAAGTCTAATTTATGAACACTGGTGTGTTTGGCTTGAAAGAGCGAAGAATGGAGGACAAGAGAAGGATGAAATAGGGGAATTGAGAGAGAGTAAAAGAAGGAAGGGGGCAGCTGGAGAGGAGAAATAGAAGGGGAAACATATGGGCCACAGACCTGCAGAGAGTGGAAAAATACTGTAAAGGATGGAAATGAGAGGGGAAAGAAGGGACCATTACAGGGAATCCATCTCCAGCCTGATTCTGGTTCCCATTGAGCTTAGTCACTCAGTCATGTCAGACTCTTTGCCACCCCATGGACTGCAGCCCGCCAGGCTCCTCTGTCCATGGGATTTTCCAGGCAAGAATACTGGAGTCAATTGCCACGTCCTCCTTCAGAGGATCTTCCCAACTCTGGGATTGAACCCACGTCTTTTATGTCTCCTGCATTGGCAAGTGGGTTCTTTACTACTAGGGCTAGCTGGGAAGCCCATGACAGTCTCTAGGTCTCACTAAGTGTTGTTTCCACAAGAGTCATGCCCATGCTTTATATCAAAGTTAATTTTTTCTACAGATGAAGAAATAGACCTTTCCTGATTTAGGTTTGACATATACAGACTACCACGTATAAAATAGATAGCTAGTAGGTACCTGCTATAGCAAGGGGAGCTCAGCTGGTGATGACCTCGATGGGTCAACATTTGCACAGCCATCCCAAACAAAGGCAACTGCAGCTTAAGCTCAGATTTAGACTGTGTGCTCTCTACTGAGTTACTGCCACCACCTAGACACAGTTCTCCAGAACTAGAAGTTTAATTCCTTCAAGGCAATGCCTTAAAAATCCTGTAAGAGGGACTTCCCTGGTAGCTCAGTGGAAAAGAATCTGCCTGCTAGTACAGGAGACGTGGGTTCCATTCCTGGTCTGGGAAGATCCCCACATGCCTTGGAGCAACTTATCCTTTGGCTCACAACTACTGAGTCTGTGCTCTAGGGCCCAGGAGCAGCAACTACTCAGTCCCCCTTGCCCCAGAGCTCCTGCTCCACAGCAGGAGAAGCCACCACAATGAGAAGCCCTCGCACCAGAACTAGAGAGGGGCCCCTGCTCTCTGCAAATGAGAAAAAAGCTTCCACAGCAACAAAGACCCAGCGCAGCCAAAAATAAAGAAATAAAATTAATATGAAAAGGTCTGTAATACTTCAGGGAGTGATAACAGCGAGGTATCAGCTATTTATGCAGCACAAAATTGTGCACGCATGTCTTGGTCCTCTAAAAATAGTACTTTATTTTTCCATGAGTGAGAAGTCTCATTATTTTACACTATTAACCAAGGCCCATTTCCACCCCGCTCCCCCAGATCCAGCCAATTTAAGTTCTTTTTATAAATGTGTGTTTTTGAGACCTTTAGAAATTTGAACAAAAACCCAATTGAAAGCCAAATTTTAACTGTCTAGAAGCCCTACTTTTGGCTTTATAAGGTCATAAACATGATTGTTAGTTAAGAGAGAGGTAAGTTGGACTTACTTATTTTGTCTGTTTTAGACAGACAAAATGTCTGTTTTGTCATTTTCCCTTCATAACTGTACCAAGTAAATGATAAGAACAGGCAACAGCAGCTGACAAACAGCATCTCCTGCATACCTGTGCTTTTCTGATTCAATCTGCTCACATTTCCTTGTGTGTGTGTTTGCAGTTGCTTAGTTGTGTCCAACTCTTTGCAATCCCATGTCCTGTAGCCTGCCAGGCTGCTCTTGTCCATGGAGTTTTAAAAATTCTGTTAGTGTGGGTATAATTCTCAACACAAGGAAATTGAGGCTAAGAGAGGTTAAGAAACAACTTCAAGGTTAATAACTGGTTATTATTGCACCAGGTTTCAACCAAGCAACCTTGTCTCCAGAGCCCATCCTCACAATTACACCATTCTGTCTATAAGACATTAACTGAGTAGGTCTATGGCTTAAATTTAACCATGTGCCACAATCATTACTTTCTTGAAATATTAACTGTGATACGAATACATAGAAGAGAATGGATTAAAGAAAATATGTTGGAATATAGTTGATTTACAATGTTGTGTTCATTTATGGTGTACAGCAAAGTGATTCAGTTACACACATATAAATTATCATACTGATATATTCTTTAATAGATTCCTTTACATTATAGTTTATTATAGGATAAAGAATATATTCCCTGTGCTATAGAGTAGGTCTTATCATACTGATATATTCTTTAATAGATTCCTTTACATTATAGTTTATTATAGGATAAAGAATATATTCCCTGTGCTATAGAGTAGGTCCGTGTTGTTTATTTATAAATAGTGTGTATCTGTTCGTTTCTAACTCCTAATTACTCTCTCCCCAATCTCCTTATGCATTCAGTAATCATAAGTTTTCTATGTCTCCCAGTCTGTTTTGTAATTATGGTCATTTGGGTCATATTTTAGATTTCATATAAAAGTGATGTCATATGGCGTTAGTCTTTCTCTGTCTGGCCTGCCTCACTTAGTATGGTCATTTCTAGGTCCGTGAGTGTTGCTGCAGATGGCATTCTTTCACTCTTTTTTTTTTTTTTTTATAGCTGAGTGGTATTCTGTTGTGTGTATATTATATTATATATATAATACCACATCTTCTTTATAAGAATAAATATTTTAAATTAATAAAATAAATGTAAGATTTCCTTAAGTGACGTGTATTTTGCTTTTCAACTTCATTTCTCTTTTCCCATTTCTATTTCAAGAGTCTCAGCAACTTGACACTGGCCCTCCTGCCCTTGGGTCCTGCTGTGACCGGACCCCAGTCCCTCCTGGGCCTGCCAGGACCTGACCCCGGCCCTTCCGCCCGCCCCGCCGTGCCCCCGGAGCTTGCTCACCGCAGTTGTCCTCGTCCACGTGGTTTTCGCAGTCGTCCACGCCGTTGCATTGCAGCTGCTGAGGTAAGCACTTGGTGGTGTTGCCGCAGGGGAAGTAGCCCAGGTCGCAGGGCACATTCTGCGCTCTGCCAGGAGCGACTGCGACGTGGAAGGGGAGAGGGGTTTACACAAGGCCCTGCACAGAGTGACTCCCCACCGTCCGCAAACCTCCTCATCCTGGCAGGTCCCACCTCACCGTGAGCATTAGCCTGAGGCCAATGCTTTTCCAAGAACCTCCACAACTAGAGGAAGTTATTTTCCACATCTTCAGAAAATGCCAGGATGCCCCACTCTTTGCCTTTTCTCATGTTTCCCACCTGCAACGTCCTCGTCATTCCTCTTTTCTATGAAAGGTCTGCCCATACTTTAGAGTTGAGCTCAATTCCCCTTTTCTCTTTCAAACATTTTTCATCCAATCATTTAAAAAATCAGGACTTTCTTTCATTCTTACTGTTGACTGGGGATCATGGCTGGTTTGGTACTGGGGTGGAAGAGAACAGGCCAGGTATTAGGAACGATCAGAGCGGGTTCCTGAGGGCAGGCACTATGCCCTGTAGCGTGTTGCATCCAATAAAATGCTTCCTGCCTTTTTCATATGGGCTTCCTTCACTTACAGACTTCATTTAAGGTTCCTCTATGTCTATTCATGGCTTAACTCCTTTCTTTTTTGTGCTAAATAATATTCCATGGTCTGAATGAACCACATTGATTGATTCTATTGATTCACCCAACAGAAGGACATCTTGCAAGCTTTGGCAGTTTTTAATAAAGCTCCTAATCACATCTATGTGCAGGTTTTTGTGTGGAGGGACATAAGTTAATTTTGCCATTTAAAACTCCAGATTTATATGAGCTCAAAGATTATTGTAGAATCCAAGATAATTCTATTGCTTATTATCCTTCCCAAGTTTGTACATCTTTCATACTTTCTAGAATAATAGTCAATTATAAAGAAAAATCAGAATAGATCAAACAGTCAATAAAGGACTTTCTTGCATTTTTACTGTTGACTGAGGATCATGGCTGGTTTGGTACTGGGGAGGAAGAGAACAGGCCAGGTTGTAGAAGCTGCCGGAGCTCACTCATATGTGGGAGTGGGGGGGTGTGTGACACCTGTTTAATGTTAAAAATCAAGTTGTTATTTTGATATTAAATTGTATGAACTATTTATATATTTTTGATATTAACTCTACTGGTCATATCATTTGCAAATATTTTCTACCATTCAGCAGGTTGTCTTTTCAATTATTTTTGTATTGTCAATTTTTAAAAAAATTAAAAAAAAATTTTGGCCATGCCATATGGCATGTGGGATTTTAGTTCCCCAATCAGGGATTGAACCCATGCCCCCTGCAGTGGAAGTGTGTTCTCCTAAGCACTGGACTGCTAAGGAAGTCCCTTTTTGTCATTTCATTTTGTTGATGGTTTCCCTTGCTGTGTAAAAACTTTTAAGTTTAATTAGGTCCCATTTGTTTATTTTCTCTTTCATTATCTTTGCCTGAGAGGACAGATTCAAAAAAAATATTGCTATGATTTATGTCACAGAGTGTTTTGCCAATGTTTTCTTCTAGGAGTTTTCCCGTCTATGGTTTTTCTTCTATGGTTTCCCATCTTACATATAAGTCTTTAATTCATTCTGAGTTAAAACAGTTTGGTCCAGTTCTATTTTTTGAAATTATTAAAATAGGAATAAAGAATGACTGTTCCAAATATAAACTTATAATATTGGGTCTGCTTTGCCTTACATTAGCTATTCCTCAATCCTGATGGGCTACTCTTCATTGAATCTCTGTTCAGATGGTTCTATGCCTTTTGGATCCAAATAAGGAAGATTCAGTCATTTCTGGTTGTGAAGCTTAAATGGAGTAAGCAAACATCTTTTCATGTCTCTGTTTACGTTCATCTTGGGTGTGTGTGAATTTGCAAAATGCACTCACCAAGCATCAAAGGAAGAGAAAGGCAGCAGAAGGACAATGAGTGGTTTCATTTGAATCATTTNTCATTTCTGGTTGTGAAGCTTAAATGGAGTAAGCAAACATCTTTTCATGTCTCTGTTTACGTTCATCTTGGGTGTGTGTGAATTTGCAAAATGCATTCACCAAGCATCAAAGGAAGAGAAAGGCAGCAGAAGGACAATGAGTGGTTTCATTTGAATCATTTTTTGCTTATTTTTAAATTTAGTCCTAAATTTGGTAGTAAGCTCTTTTCAGATAAGGAGTGAACAGATGAGACAGAAAAGTTTAAAAAAATGGGATTTAGTGCACATGTTGCTAAATTTAATAACAAGGAAAGTATGTGGCTTAGGAGTAGATATATTTCTAAATATGGTTTTGAAGACTTCCTGACTATAGTAAATGAAATATTAAATATATCTGGCTTCCCTGGTGGCTCAAATGATGGAGAGTTTGCCTGCCAACGCGGGAGACCTAAGAGATGCTGGTTTGATCACTGGGTTTGGAAGATCCCCTGGTGAAGGGCATGGTAACCCACTCCAGTATTCTTGCCTGGAGAATCCCATGGACAGAGGAGCCTGGTGGGCTACATTCCATGGGGTCATAAAGAGTTGGACATGACTGAGTGACTAACACTTTCACTTTCACTGGATATATTTATGCACTGAGAAGAAGAAGGTGGCTCAGTCATGTCTGACTCTTTGTGACCCCATGGACTATACAGTTATGGAATTCTCCAGGCCAGAATACTGGGTAGCCTTTCCCTTCTCCAGGGGTCTTCCCAATCCAGGGATAGAACCCAGGTCTATCATGGCAGGTGGATTCTTTGCCAGCTGAGCGACCTGGGAAGCCCAGGAATACTGGAGTGGGGAGCTTATCCCTTCTCCAGGGGATCTTCCTGACTCAGGAAGTGAACCGGAGTCTCCTGCATTGCAGGTGGATTCTTTACCAACTGAACTATGAGAGGTTATGCAGTTGGATCAGAATATTAATAATTTCAACAGACACTGTGTAGTGATAGATTCAGAACTGAATGAAAAAGACCTAGCAGAGCACTCGGGATGCAGGGAACATCTGATAACAGTGAGAGTGATGAGGCGCTGGCTCTGTCAGCATAAGTCAGTACTTAATATTGGCACAAATGTATCTTTCTTTTCGAAATACCTGAATTTATATTTTTGTGATTATAGCTTTTTAATTTAAATACTCTCATATCAGACAAAGATCACTTATAATTTAAGAAATTCATAAACGATTTTTTAAAAAACACCCTAACTGAAGAATTACTCTAGTGCATAAGAACTCAAATAAATATTGCAGTCAAAACTTGAAGCAATTTGGAAAAAATGCATAATCATTTTAATTGCAACAGCAGAGACTGTTTTTTGATGAAGCACTTAAATGTCTTTCTTCTCTTGGAAATCCTATGAGATTGTGTGTGCGTGCTAAGTCGCTTCAATCGTGTCTGACTCTTTGTGACTGCATGGGCTGTAGCCCACCAGGCCCCTCTGTCCATGGGATTCTCTAGGCAAGAATACTGGAGTCGGTTGCCGTGCTTTCCTCCAGGGGATCTTCCTGAGCTAGGGATCAAACCTGTGTTTCTTATGTTTGCCTGTATTGGCAAATGGATTCTTTACCACTAGCACCACCTGGGAAGCACCCTATTAGATTAAGTAGATGGAAAAAACTGAGGGAGAGCTCCATGAGCTGATTGCCAAGTGAAACACAGTGCTGAATGAAAATCAGTGACTTTCTTTTTCTCTGCCTAAGAGCAAATTACTGTCATTCCCCTATGACTAAAAATATGTATGTGCTTTGTCTGCATTTTGCGGGTCTGGGTAACGCACAAAGAAGGGACAGATGGTCCAGACTTTGTTCAGTGATCTTAACGTCTCTTTGACTTAATTGGGTCCCCATGTAATTCCCTGGTGGCTCAGAGGCAAAGAATCAGCCTTCAACGCAGGAGGCTCAGGTTCCATCCCTAGGTTGGAGAGATCCCCTGGAAAAAACTATGGCAACCATTCTATTATTCTTACCTGTAAAATCCCATGGACAGAGGGGCCTAGCAGGTCCATGGGGCTGCTATAGGACCTTCCATGGAGCTTCAAAAAGAGTTGGATACGCCTTAGTAACTGAACCATAACAGCAATGTAATTCAAGGGCCAGAGTCAATGAAGACATGAAGTGAAGCATTTTAGTAATGTGGTTTTGAGGAAACTGTCCTTGTTTCCATATCAGTTCAGTTCAGTCACTCAGTTGTGTCCGACTCTTTGCGACCCCATGAATCGCAGCATGCCAGGCTTCCCTGCCCATCACCAACTCCCAGAGACTACTCAGACCCATGTCCATCGTGTCGGTGATGCCATCCAACCATCTCATCCTCTGTCGTCCCCTTCTCCTCCTGCCTTTAGTCTTTCCCAGAATCAGGGTGTTTTTCAATGAGTCGGTTCTTTGCATTAGGTATTAGAATTTCAGCTTCAGCATCTGTCCTTCCAATGAATATTCAGGACTGATTTCCTTTAGGATTGACTGGTTGGATCTCCTTGCAGTCCAAGGGACTCTCAAGAATCTTCTCCAATACCACAGTTCAAAATCATCAATTCTTTGGTGCTCAGCTTTCTTTATGTTCCAACTCTCATATCCATACATGACTACCGGAAAAGCCAAAGCTTTAATTAGATGAACCTTTGTTGTAAAGCAATGTCTCTGCTTTTAAATATGCTGTCTAGATTGGTCATAGCTTTTCTTCCAAGGAGCAAGCGTCTTTTAATTTCATGGCTGCCGTCACCATCTGCAGTGATTTTGGAGCCCCCCAAAATAAAGTCTGCCACTGTTTCCATTGTTTTCCCATCTACTTGCCATGAAGTGATGGGACCAGGTGCCATGATCTTAATTTTCTGAATGTTGAGCTTTAAGCCAACTTTTTCACTCTCCTCTTTTACTTTCATCAAGAGGCTCTTTAGTTCTTCTTCACTTTCTGCCATAAGGGTGGTGTCATCTGCATATCTGAGGTTATTGATATTTCTCCCGGCAATCTTGATTCCAGCTTGTGCTTCTTCCAGCCCAGCGTTTCTCAT